TTATAGCCTTCAAAATAAATGAAAAAGTCTAGTTTTGAATAGCTGAAAGAAGTATAAGGAAGGAGGACGTAAACATAAGATATATAGAATAACCAAAAACAAAAATAAATACCTCTCATTGTGCTTTCTTGGCGATATAATCTAGGATTGATTCCTCTATGATTTCCCTTAATTTTTTCCCCTTTTTTTTTGGTGATCATCACCTGATCCAAAATTAGACACAGTATCACTTTCAGATGAATCCACACGACCATGTCTTCCATGTGTTCTCCTAGAGCTTTTGCGATCACTTCGTCGGTGTTATAGCCCTTATTTTGAGTTTCCTACAAATTTTTTTCTAGAGTCAATATTAATCCAAATCACAAACCATATTCTTCATAGCATTGACATTGTAGTGCTTTAATTACACAAAAAATTTCATTTTTTTTTTAGCACCGGTGAAAATCCTTAAGAAATTGATACTTATCGGTACAAGTGAGGATTTTAGAGCCATTAAGTGTTCGTTTTGAAAATTAATTTCATCAGTCTTTTAAATAAAATGTGTTATTTTATAAATATATATATATTTATAAATTTTAAAGTCTCAAATAGATTTATACGAATTTTCTATCAAAAAAATTGAATAAATTAAATAATTATATTAACATTATATATTATTTTATTACAAATATCTTAAACCATTAACATATCTTATTAAATCCTTTGCACCTTAGTTAATTTCGGGTAACACAAACCTAGTGAGAAAAAATAGAGAGAAAAAAGATGAGAGAAAAAAAAGCTTAGGTTTGTAGACCGTAGAGCAATTTTTGTCATCAAGTCAGTAAGGAGATTTGTTCGTCTTGTTGTAAGAAACATTTATCATATTCATGATTTTAATATTTTTGTGTTTTTGGTATTTTTTCGATCAAATTTATATTTTTGTTACAAAAAAATGTGAATAATTTTGTATTGGTAAAATTTTTAACTTTTAACTTTTTATATGTTATAGATATTGAGATTATTAATATTTTGAGCATTTATTTGATATTTTTGTCAATTTTTTTTTGAAAATGCAGTAATTTCTGTGTACTCTGAAATTTATTTTAAAATCTAAAAATAGTGTTTTTGTTCAAAAAAAATCAAAATGTTATTTTATATGATATTTGATAATTTGATAAATTTTTGCTTAGTATGATTTTTTGTTGCTTATCATTAGGACGTGTTGACACTTTCTAATTTAAGTTCAATTATACTTTATTTGTTGTAATATATTTGAAATGAATATAGATATATAATTGAGATTCTTTTTATAGTATTTTGATAATAATGTGTGTGTAAAAGATAATTAAATACTGATTGACTCGTTGGTTAGAGACTATTGGCATGTACATTATGGTGGGCCAATGAATTTTCCTTTAAATATGTGAGTTGGTCTTATCCTCAAATGATTCTTGTGATACACTGATTTAGAGTTATAAGAAGATAATTATTGTGCTTACGAGCAAAGAGTGACGACTGTTTACTGAACTAATGATTTACTGATATTGATATGATATTGAAAAATACCGTGATAGTCATGACTTCTTATTGTTTAATGTGACTACTTAATTAATTGTTATTTAGGTATTGTTCTGGTTACTACATGAATTTATTATTATTGCTTTATTTTACTAGTCATACCACTGGACTGTTATTTTTATTGCTACTGATATAATCATTGATACTATTTGGTATTATACTGATTCACGTATAATTAGCATGTGATATACTAAAGACGTAATATACCGATTTGATACTGATATAAAATAATATTGGATGGTATGTTGCACTCCTATATAATTTTACTACGTTGATATGATTTTGACAGTCCTCGTTGATGATCTTGTTTATTGTTTTATATGATCTTTCTATTGATTAATAGTAGAGATACAAAGATTGCTTAATAAATTTTACACCTATACTAATTTAATGGCTTTCATACTGGACTATTTATCATTTATAAATTTTACTACGACTGCACGTGTGTTTTATTGTTTATGCATTGATTTAATGATCATATGAATGCTACTATTATAATTTGATTCCTGACATGCATGTTGCTCATTTACCGTGCTTTGAATTTATTTATAAATTTTGGTGACATGCTGGACTTTTTAACTCATTATATGTGATTAAATGATTTCAGATCAGAGAAATGGAGCATGAGAGTGAGACTTAATAGGTTTCCTTCAGGTTCAAATTTTTTTATTTTAATTATTATTTTGTACTCAAGACAGAATAGTTATGATATGATCCTAATTAAGTAGTGTACATAATTTTTAGAGAAATAAATATAGATTTACATATTGATATTTTGATTGATAGTTTTATTTTGCTACTATTTTGATTGATAAAAAAATTAGCTAGCTTTGATTGTTCTTTATTAAAATATTAAAAGAATTTTTAAAAAAAAAAAAAAATTTTAGATTATGAGGCATCACAGTCAGGATGAATAATCCCTTTGACTTCTATGCATATAATTTCGATCGGTGGTGAATTAAATAAATTATTTGAAGAAGATAGTAGTTAAGGGAGGGAATAATAGATGTATTGTGCATTATCTAGGGTTTCTGGAGTGGACATAAAAGAGAATATACCACTTTCAACATATTTACAACTAATGTGTTCTATATTTTTCTATTGCAACAAATCAATCAGATTCATTCATATAATTTCCTCTCTCGTAGATTTACTACGATCATGATATATTTTTTTCTATTATAATGATGAATTGCCTCATTGTCAGTTGAAGAAAGAAAGAATCTTTGAATGTTCTTTTAGCTGCCTTTTCTGTATATTTTTTCTTCATAGAGTGACAGTCAATTACTATTTTGTGGGATCTCTAATATATCATTAATCTTTTATCTCCTGAAGATATTGAAATTGCATGCAGCAAGAGCTAGGCTTGTTGAAATCCTTAGTGGTCAACTGGTCATTGTTTAGAGGAAAAAGAACAAAAAATCTCCTACTATGAACAGGTAAGATAAAGGTAGACTGTAAGATAAGATTAAGTTTTCTTCAAGGAATATCCAAAAAAAAATTTAAAAAATGAACAGCACCTAACACACTTCAATTTTAACACTAAACCAAACAATCGAGTTAAATTTAGAAGGTAAATAGTATTTATTTCCGCTAAATTCCTCCAATCGAAGCACAAACAAAAAAATAAATGAGAATAAGAGCATCAGTTATTTTCGAACCCATACAGATAATACGTCAAAAAATGCGATAGACAATTCTACGCACGGCTTTTGGAAGAGGCGTGAATGGCTTATCTATAGTTACGCCTAAAACTCTTCACTTCAAATATAGTCAAGTTGGAAGGGAGTCAAAGCTGCTCGCTCGAGGGTTGGATGAAGGAGAGCATCACTGTCTTTATTAATTAGTTAGTTCAGTTAATTTAAAATTTACTTAGTTCATTTAATTATTTAGTTAATTTATTTCTGTAAAGTTTATTTAATTAATTTAGTTAAATTTTATTTAGTCCATTTGTTTAGTTAATTTATTTCATTAAAGTTTATTTAATTAATTTATTAAGTTAAAGATTTTTTAGTTATTTTATTAGTTAAAAGAGTTTTAAAATTTATTTAGTTAATTTATATATTTCATTTTGTTGTTTAATCTTAATGCACTCGACCACATTCGTGCAACTCGCTTACGAGAGGTCCTTTGAGAGTGTGACCACCAAAGGGAAAGGTTAGTAAAAACTAAGTTATTAGATTGCCATCTAGAGGGATCCTATAGGCTATCTCTATGTTAAGCTTCAAAAACCTAGGCACTAACAATGAATAAGGGGAAATTAATCTCATACAAAAATGAGGTCAACAAATTCTAAACCAATTGTCTTAGATACGATAATGGTTGTGAGTATTGTGAGAAGAAGTTAAATAGAATTTTTTTTTTCTTTGAATGGGATCAAGCATGAATTCATTTTCCCAATAACACTAATAATATAATGGTATTGCAGAGCGTATGAATAAAACTATCATTGACCGTGCATGAAATTGCATATTAGTATACCCAAACAATTCTGAGCAGAACAATGAATATTCTTTTTTATTTGATTAATCGTGGTCCACCAATGCCTCTGAATGAAGGGTTACCTAAGGAAGCTTGGAGTAACAAGGAGATAAGTTTATCTAAATTTAAAGTCTTTTGTTGTACCTCTTATATTCATATTGAGACAGGATCTAGGAGTAAGTTTGATCCAAAGTCTATCAAATATATATTTATAGGTTATGACACAGACGAATTTGATTATAAATTTGAGGACTATTCCTAGATTTAAAACTCATTATGAGAATGGATGCCAATTTTAATGAAAAAAAAAATGTACAAGAATTGAAATGACCAAACTCGTGAAAATTTTTCAAAATATGTTGAGATGACGGATATTGGTGTCACGAAGACAAAATTAAGAATGAGTTTAAGTTGATAAAGCACACAAGGTTCATCATATAGGTACAACTAAAGTCAGAATTTTCGGTATAATCTCACAACATTCACAAATGTATTCTCCTTCATTATATTATTTATTTCTAGTAGATGGTAGTGAATCAAAGTGATATGAGGAAGCCATACAAGTTGATGATTTTAAAAAGTGATAAAATGTAATCACTTATGTTGACTCAAACTTGGTGTTGATTGAACTATCAAATTACAAGAAAACAATGTATAATGTATAAAAAATTGGTTTACAAACTAAAAGAAGAATATGATGGCTGCAAGTGCTACTACAAGGAATGACTTATAGTAAAAGGTTTTCACTAAAAGAACTGATTGGACTACACTAATTTTTTTCTCAAATTATAAAAATGGCAACAATTAGAGTTTTAAAAATGACAACAATTAGAAAAGACATAAAAGGAGTTTTTGTGATGCCTAAAATCTAAATTGAAAAAATTATTCTTTTATCTTTTAATATAAAACAACAATAACTAATTAATTTCTTTTATTAATATAAATACCAGTGGAAATAAAACTATCGATCAAAACATCAATATACATATATGTATTCATTTCCCCAAAAATCATGTTCACTATTCAGGATCTATATAATCATATCACAAATACTCTGTCATGAGTACAAATGTATAGTTAAAATAATAAGAACCTGAACTTGAAGGATCCTGGTCAATATCTCATTCATGCTCCCTTACCTTGATCTGAAATGATTTAATAATATATAATGAGCTCAAGAGTCTAGCAAATAATCAAATTTTATAACTGAATGAACAATATGAATGTTAATAGTCAAATCATAGTAGTAACATTCTTATGATCATGAATCAATGCGAAAATGGTAAAACATACTTGCAACAATATTAAAGTTTATAACCAGTAAAGTAATATGGAACGGAAGCCAGTAAAGTGGTACAATATAAAAAACTAATATGGATGTCACATCACTAACGAAGACCTCCTATCAATACTATTAATCAGTAAAGAAGCCATATAAAATAGTAAAATCAAAACATCAGTAAGAACTATCGAAATCATCTATGTATATAATGTGCTTAATTTCAGTAATCAAAACAGAGAATTAATAACAGTAACAGTAAATCAATAATAGTATAGATGTTCGTATGGATATCAGTAAAAATAGTGATAGTAGCAATAAATAATATAGTAATAATATATTTGTGTAATAATAATAAATATGTATAGTAATGAGAATAATGTCTGAATAACATAAATTTTAGTTGTCATACTAAACAAGTAAAAAGTCATGACTTAATCTATATTTCTTTAGTATCATATCAAAATCAGTAAATTGAGTTGTTACTCTTTGTTCGTCGGCATAGTAATTGACTCCTTATAACTCTCAGTCAATTTCATGTGAATCAGTAGAGAATATATAACGTCAAACTATGGTATTTGAAGGAAAGTTCGTCGGCCCACCATCATGTATAGATCAATCAATCTCCAGCCAACGTCAATGAATAATCAGTCTTTACTTATTTTTTTCCACACATAAATTATTATCATAGTATTATAACAAAAACAATGATCAAATATTTCTCAATCATATGCCCACAATCATTTTCAATGCATAGTAGTAAATAAAATGTAATTGACTTAATTCAGAAAGTGTCAAAATGCCTTAATGGTAGGCAACAAAACACCCTACTGAGCATAAATTCTCATTTTAAAAAATAAAATAAATTATTAATGAACGTATATAACAATATTATAAAGCTTTAATTAAATTAAATCATTATGTTTAGATGTCAAAATAAATATTTGAATTGATAAAAATTATTGCTTTTCAAAATCACCAATTAAAAATCTGAAATAGATATTCAAAATCATCATAATATCAATCTCTATAAAATATAAAAAGTTACACATTAAAAGTTTTACGAATACAAAAGTATCCTCATTTTTTAGAATGGAAATACAAATTTCATATAAAAATTTTCAAAACATCAAATTATTGAAATAAAAAATAGGATAATAATTTTTACAATGAGATGAGTAAATTGCCTATCAGAGTAGACTAACGAAAATCACTCTACGGCTTGCAAAACCAAGGTTTCATTTTCTCTCTTCTCACTTTCTCTCAAAATTTCATTTTTGGTTCTTGGTCAAATCAAATGTTCATTTAAGGAATTCTATAGTGGATTTATATATTATAATAAAATAATAATATAATTATATAATGTATTCAATTTTTAGCATAAAATTCATACATTTTTTTTTGGGCCTAGGGTTTCAAAAATTATAGAAAAAAATATCTACAAAATAGCTTATTTTATTTAAAAAAATTTTGTTGAATCGATTTATAAAAGAAACTCTTGACAGTCCCAAAACCCACCACTTATACCAATAAGTGTTAATCTCTTAAGGATTCAAACCAATGCCCAAAAATTATGTAAAAATTAATTTAATTAAAGCACTATATTGTTTATACGTTGACAATATGGTTTGTAATTTAGACTTATAATTATTTCTAAAAAAAATTATTTAATTGGGTCAAAATTTGAGTTATTATAGTTTTTTCTTACTAATTTAGGATAGAGACTAGGGAATGTGTTAATGGAAGAGACTCGCAATGAACTAGTCCCACTGTAGGCAATCCACACCATTAGGGTGGTTCCCATCCACCATTGAGGAGCTAGTGAGGAGGCTTTACGTAAGCCTCAAAATGACTCAGGTCAAGAGAGGTAAACTCCAATGAGTTTATTGATGAAACCTATTGCTAAGGTGCCTCCAATCATCTTCATTGAAGTCAATCAACCTACAAATGCTAATTGATATAACAAAGCACTAATCGTTACAATACTTATTACAAATTGCCCGATCAACAATATCGCCACATGCATCAGGTTTTTAGCGAATATCATGTTCAAGAATGTATATAAGAGAATGAACTTTAGAGATTATCGCCTGATGCCAATCTCAGATCCTCTCTTCGACTTTATGGGGGGAATAAATAGAAAGAGGGGGTAATCACCTTGTCGATTATATGGATAAAAGAAGAAAGCTAGTTCATCGCCATAGCCAACTTTATCATAATTGGCACATTAATAATGTACAATGAAATCTTTGGCCAACCACTACTGAAGACTTTTTGAGCAATCGTCAATTTATCATGAAGTTCCTAACAAATGGTCAAGTAGTGATAGTAAGGGGATAGTTGGTATAATGTAGGGCTTTCTACCTCAAAGCAATGGGAGATGTCCATGAAGAAATCCTTCAACTTGATGTGAAAAGATAGCCCACGATAGAATCTACTAAACTAATTGAAGAAGTGTCGATCTTTAAAGAAAATACAAATTGAACCTTTAGAATTAGTACCATCTTTGGTGAGCAACAAAAGCTGACTTGATCATAACTTTCAAGGATAATGTAGCTGTATTCACATGGTCGTCCAATAAAATACCAAGTTTTGCTATTAATGTCATTTATCATAGGTTGAATATTGATGAGAAAGCGAGGCCAATAAAGTAAAAATTTTGTGCACTAGGGACTATCATGGGTTGATGCTTTGGTTGACTCTGCTGTCAGCTACCCTATGATGAGCTTCTTAGACGTCTTCTATGGATATCATCAAATCAAAATAAACTCAATCAACTACGAGAAGATGATGTTAATCATAGGTAATGGACTACATTACAAAATGCAATGCCCATTAGTTTGGAATTGTAGGTGCCACATACCAAAGGATGATAGATTATATTTTTCGAGATTAGAAGGGGTTGAATGTCAACGTCTGTGTTGATGATCTCTTCATAAAATGCAAACTCTAGAATAAAACATTTAAGATCTCAAATAGTTTTTTTTACTATTAAAAGTACAACACAAAGCAACCCTCTGAAGTGCGCCTTTAGAGCTGGATTGAGAAATTTCAGTCTTTCTTCTTACTTTAACGTATCAAAATGAATTAAAAAAACTCAAAGAAATTCTCAAATCAAAATCACCCAAAAACACAAAGGAACTATAGAGGTTGACATAGTGAGTTATTGTTCTAAGTTAGTTTATCTCAAAGTCAAGCAACAAGTGCTCATCATTCTTCGAAGTTAAGAGAAGTGCCAAGCACTTTTCTTAGAATGGAGAATGTGAACTCGTCTTTCAATAATTAAAGTTGCTCCTGTACATTATCTCTTATGAAGACAGTGGCTAGGGGAGGACTTAACTCTTATGCCTCGGGGTCATCAAGAAGATAGTGAGCTTGGTCCTCGTTTATGAAGACGAGAAGAAGCAGTAGGTAGTTCGATTATAAATTTATTGAAATCAGGGTTTGGATGATTTTGAATTTAATTTTGAAAGTCTACAATTCAAATATGCTCCAAAATCTGTGCTCGATCAAAATGAGTTTTTATGATTTAAAATTTTTATTTTTTTTAATGAAGTTAATGAATAGTGAATTTCAAGAGTAAAATTTGAGTATCAAAATTCAAGTAAAACTTTGATAATAACTTGAGTAAATAATTGACTCATAAAAAAATAATTAATGCCAAACATTTAGTATAATCCATGAATAAGAAAAATATCGAACATTGACAAAGATGAATATCCAATATCAAATATCATCATTGAAAAGAACCATGCCACATACCGAATAAGTAAATTATTTAGGAGGGTGTAATAGGAGAATGGTGTTGGCTTGCTTAGGAGGAGAGGATGGCTTTGTTAAGGGTAGTAGGGTGAAGCCGCCGGACACGGAGAACACGACGGTGGCCACCGGTTTGAGAATGGAGGATTGTGTTGCTTTTTGTTTGGGGGAATGCTCGTGCGTGGCTTATGTTGTGCATGATAGGAATTGTTTGTGGTGGATTGTTTAGCTAATAGACATTAAGGAGTTTGCTTCATGGACTCAAAGAGATGCAGATCTCTATCTCCGGCTACCTTTTGCTGATTTGAGTATGCTCTTTAAGCTGTAATTAAATACTACAGACGTATTAGCCATTTTAATAGGATGATCAGACCGAATGCTAATTAATCCAGCAAGTGGACAATTTTTTACCACTTCAACTTAAAAGGACTAATGTCATAATCCATGAAAAGAACTTTTCCCCACTGCTTTAATAGGCGTTTACTAGTCTTCCACTTTAATGGTAATCTGATGCGGTGCATTATACATTGAGTCATTGAGTGTGACAACCCTTAGCTGTCACATTATGCCAATTCAGAGCCACAATTTCTCAGCATTATGCCCTTCAATTATTTAAGTGAGATCATAAACTTGGTTCTGGTGTATTGCTTCTGGTTGCTCTGAGCTTCGTTTGGGACGACTTTCGTCCCAAAAAAAGCCTAATCTACAGGACTACCACGTCACAATGATACCGAGAATGGCTAATAAATTATAACAATAATAATAAAAACTTATTCCTCTCCTATTAATTGTATAACCAAGTATTCAACGCCTTTCATGAATCATTCCTTATCAGCCTACAATTCAAATTCGGAGGCAAGCCAATGATCCTCCTCCTCATCCTCCTCCTCTCCTCGACCCTCATCCTCCACTCCGCCCCCACCGACACCATCACTCCGTCCCAAACTCTCGCCGCAGAACAAACCATCATCTCCACCGGAGGCACTTTCGAACTAGGATTCTTCAACGCCACCACACCTTCTAGCTCTTTCTTAGGCATATGGTATCACAAAATTCCCATTCGCAAAATGGTCTGGGTAGCTAACCGCAAATCTCCGATCACCGCCCAAAATGCCACCTTTTCTCTAACTAGTGACGGCAATATTCTCATCACAGCCGGCGACGTCAACAACGGCGGCATCAGAACTGTTTGGTCTACGAACACCTCTGGCGTAAAAATTCCATCTTTGAAACTCCTCGATTCCGGCAACCTCGTGCTGACCGACGGTGGATCAAATGCCATTATTTGGGCGAGCTTTGACTACCCTTCCGACACTTTACTCCCCAATATGGAACTCGGATTAGACTTAAAACGTCACCTTGAAAAGCAGCTCATGTCCTGGAAATCTCCTAACGACCCCTCCCCGGGCTTGTACACCTTTGGCCTTCGCCAAACTGGTTCACCGGAGCTCATACTCAAGAACGGTTCAAACATCGAGTATCGAACCGGGCCATGGACTGGAGTTTCATGGAGCGGCATTCCCCAAATGAATTCGGATGTCCACTTCAACTTCATCTTCGTGGTTCAACCCGACAAAATTTTCTACACCGATACGGTTACGGATAATAAATCTGAAATGACTTTAACAACCCTCGATCCCAGCGGTGGTTTGCAACGGTTGATGTGGCTCGGCGGCCAGTGGAGGCAGTACTGGCGGCTACCGGAGGACAAATGTGACGGGTACGGCACGTGCGGGGCGTTCGGGATATGCAGCATGTATTACCCTGAAGGGGTTTGTAAGTGCTTACAGGGGTTTGAGCCGAGGACGGTAATTGACTGGACGTTGAGGGATTATTCAGGAGGGTGTAAGAGGGGAACGGCTTTGGCTTGCTCTGGAAGGGATGGCTTTGTTAAGGTGAGTGCGGTGAAGCCGCCGGACACGGAGAACGTGACGGTGGTCGCTGGCCTGGGAGTGGAGGACTGTGGTTCTTTGTGTTTGGGGAAATGTTCATGCGTAGCTTATGTTGTGCTTGGTGGGAATTGTTTGTGGTGGGTGGATCAGCTAGTGGACACCAAGAAGTTTCCTCAAGGAACTCAGGGAGGTGTGGATCTCTATCTCCGACTAGCTGCCGCTGATTTGGGTATGCTCTTTAAGGCTTTATTTAAATAGTACGGACTTATTAGCCATTGTTAATTAAATACACTTTCCAAAAAATATCCTATTTGCTACGCCGCCTTTGATGTGAGAATTTCTTATGTAGTTTCAGCAGAAAGTGCGTCAAGCAAGAGGAAGCATATAGTTGCAGTAGTCATCCCAGTGGGGCTAGCTTTTATCATATTCTCTTGCTGTGGGATATACACAATAAGAAAGAAAAGAAAGCAGGGTAAGCTATCTATCAACATGTACCTTCAAAATTTGTATTTTATTTACATCAAGTTTGCGATAAGCACAATGAATGTCATTTCGTTTTAAGTTTTATTTACTTTTGACTGTTTACAACTTGCTGGCCGGGTGTAGGACATGGATATGCCAAGGGGAGCATAAGAAAAGAGATGGAACTTCCCGTATTTGATATGTCTGCAATTGAGATTGCTACAAATAACTTTTCTGATGAAAATAAGCTTGGACAGGGTGGATTTGGCCCTGTTTATAAGGTAACTTTGCCACTCATCATTAAACCATTTAATCTACTAACAACATTTCGAATCAACATGAAATTTCGCTATGATAAAGAAACTTTGTCAATTTTAGTTCTCTCCCTCATTTCTACTCCCATCTCCATTCCATTTTCATGTTTGATATGAAATGCTTGTATCATTTAGCTATTGTTCATCCAATATCTAATATTCTATTCTATCCTCCATCTAGATGCAAAAGTTGGAAGATGTAAATATGCAATGTTTGAAGATGCTTGAATGTTGAAATTAGCAGGGTCATTTCGAAGATGGACAAGAGATTGCTGTCAAGAGATTATCTAGAAATTCAGTTCAAGGGTTGGACGAGTTCATGAATGAGGTTATGTTAATTGCAAAACTTCAGCACAGGAATCTAGTTCGTCTTCTTGGCTGCTGCATCCAAGGAGAGGAAAGGTTATTGATTTATGAGTACATGCCCAACAAAAGTTTGGATTCTTTCATATTCGGTTAGTGCCAAACACTACTTAAAATGTCATATTTTGTTTCTTTGATGAATTATAATCATATACATAGCGCTGAACAATTTAATTGAATGGACATGTTCATAGTAGTGAAATGATGTAGGTGCAAACCAGTTATGCTCCATGTAGGATCTACATAATTTATGTTCTGAATTTGTTGTTTGGATCAAAACCTTTATTACCATTAGAATATGTCACTTTATGATTTATTTGATGGGGCTACGAGGACATATATATAGTACTAAGTACTTGTTTTCATTGTGTTTATAAAAAATTTTGATTACTAACCTAGTTAATGGACATAAGTAAGGTTTTTAATTTGTTTATTTGCTAGCACAAAGACTATCAAATTATAGTATTTGTGCTTGTGCATTTTGTTGACCTGTGCAAAGAAACAAAAAAAAAAAAAAAAATCAAAAAATCAAAAATCAAAATCAAATCCCTTACCTGCCCTCTGTCATCCCCACGTCGTCGCAAGATCGAGCGTCGCTTCTTTGCACGACCCGTCTTTTCTCCCCACGACAAGCTCGCGTCGTCAAATGGCCACGAAAAAGGAGACCTTCGGCCTTCTTCACCCTCCCGAGCTCTTTTCCTCCTCTCCCGAGCCCGTTCTCTCTTCCTCTCCCTCTCTCGTTGATCGACTTCGTTTGCTCGACGACTTTCCCTTCCTGTCAGTCCGGAAGTTACGACATCAATCTGGATCGGAATCACGACCGGAGCCCTCTCACTTCTTCTCCGGCTCCCTCGAGGCTAGTCAACGTCGCTCCTTCGACGTCATTCCTTCCTGTCCGACCGAAAGTCACGACATTCTGGTCGCTAGCACGAACGGGAGCTCATCGTGTGAAGTTAACTTTCTCCCTATCACACGTGTCTTCGGCTCTTCGTAGCTGTGCGGTTTAGCTCCCTTCGACGGCTCTCCCCTCTCTCCGATCGGAGGCAACAACAGAGCTCGTCGTCCGTGAAGGTAAGTTGAACCCTTTCGTGCGCTTCCACAGCCAAACCCCGTTAATCCGCCGAACCGAGGGATTATCTTTGTTTTTATATAATTTTTATTTTATTAATTGTAATTATGTTAATTAAATATAATTAATTAAAATTATTATTTTTAGTTAATCATAATCTATAAGTTAATTATTATTAATTATTGTGATTAATTATATTTTATTAGAATTAATTAATATTAATTAAGTTATAATTAATTTAAAATTAATTATAACTTATTGTCTTAATTAATTTAATAATTTTAATTAATTATAATTAATGAAAAATGATTAATAAAAATAATTATTTAATTAATTATAATGAATGAAATACGCCTTCTCCCTCCTCGATCCACGAGCCAATAGTGGCCGACGACTCCTCCCCGCCGGTCTTCAAGGTATAAGTTTCTAAATTAAACCCCGCCCTCGACGCGCCGGTCGATCCCCTATACGCGCTCTTGTAGCATAGTGGGGGAGAATCTAGTGCGATAGGTGCGACGAGGCGGGTAAGCCCTATACGCGCTCTTGTAGCACGGTGGGGGAGAATCCAGTGTGATAGGTGCGACGAGGCGGGTAAGCCCTATACACGCTCTTATAGCGTGGTAGGGACAATCCTCGACCTCGACATCGACATCGCCGATGACTGCTATGCAAGGTATAATTTTTAAAACTCAGATTTCTCATTCTCGTCGTTTGCGGCGGACCGACAAACCCCCTATACGCGCTCTCATAGCACGGGGGGAGGAAACCCAGTGTGATGCCTGCAACGAGGCGGGTAATCACCTAAAATTTATATTCTCATTCTTGTCGTGTGCAACGGACCGCAAACCCCCTATACGCGCTCTCGTAGCACGGTGGGAGGAAACCCAGTGCGATGCCTAGACGAGGAGGGTAATCGCCTAAAATCTCATTTTCGGTGTTTGTTGCTGACCGGGGAACCACCTATATGCTCTCTCGTAGCACGGTAGGAGGGAGCCCGGTGCGACGCATACGACGAAGTGGGTAAACCCTATACACGCTCTTGTAGCTTGGTGGGGAGATCTACTTGTGCTCGCCTACGGATACTGTTGAAGGCCCCATACACGCTCTAGTAGCATGGTGGGATGAAAAATGTATGGCCCGGTGTCCCCAGATACCTACCATACATGCTCGAGTAGCGTGGTGGGATGGCCTAGTCTCTCGAATTTTCCCTTAAACAGAGGAGACGCCGGGAGGCTGCCAAAATTTCATGTAAAATATTACTACGCTCGGGACCTCATTTGAACTCAAAAAGAACAAAAGATGGACTTTAATGAACAATGAGTTATGGATCAGAACCTGAACTCAAATGATTAATAAAAGATCAAATCCAAATGAAATTGAATATGCAATGCACTTGCAAAGACCTCAGAAGACTTTGAACCCGGACAAAGAACTTGAACTCGCACTTAAACTCGTGTTATACAACATTAAGTGGGGGTTGTAGACTCGATGAACCCTAGTCTAGATGAAACCTAACTCGAACTCAAACTACAAGACCTCAATGCAAGTAAGCTACGATAATCTCTACAAATGCCTGTTGATTGAAGAAGGAAATACTATCAACTGATAGTAGAAGATCTGTCCTCACAAACAAATGCAATCAACAAACCCACCCAAGATTGGTGAAAGGGTAGATATGATGCTGAAATAATGGGTCTTCTGCAAACATTTTCAGGAGGTCGTAGTAGATTCAGCGGTCCCCTGCAAATGGATATTTGTGAATAACAACAGTATATTATAAGTACAATGAATCACTGTGGACACAAGTACGGATATCACCTACGACAGTGGTGATCAAGATCTTCAAGTACGTCGGGTACAAGGGCAACCCGGTGTATGAAAGAGGACCGTCCCCTGTAAACAAGTACAATTAGCAAAACCCACCTGAGATTGGTGACAGGTGGATATGATGCAGAAAACAATGGCTCTCCTACAAACACTTCTAAGAAGTCGTAATAGATACAATGAGTTCGCTGCAAATAAACATAAACCACTTGTGGATAACAACAGTGGATACATTATAGGTACAACGAACCACTGTGGACATAAGTACGGATATCACCCATGACAATGGTGATCAAGATATTCAATATGCCGAGTACGAGGGCAACTCGATGTACGGAGAAGGACAGCCTTGGTAGAATGGAAGGGAAGTTTGAACAAATTAGAACTAAACTTTCTGGTGTTCTAAAGTTTCTTCTTAGTCCTATACTTAAGAAGAAAATTATTTTGGTATCCACAAACACCGGAAGTAACAAGCCTACGACATTAAAGAGCTTTAAAGAAGTTCTTTTCAAAGCAGAAATCATTAATTTTAAAGCCTAAAAAGACTTCCCCGGTGAATGAGAAAAGGGGGAGTGAACATCAAGATGAAGAGATGCCTCATAACATCAAGACCTTTCGCCATCGGATCTGCAACACTCGTACTAGCGGACAGAAGGCATGTATAAGATCTCAAATGAAAAGTTGTGTGCACTCAAATGATGATTACCCGCACAACTAAAATATTTCAAAGTACCCCTGCACTTGCACTATAATTTGTATGCACATAGATACACTAAAGGGAAAAATGCAATCTCGACCCGCATGGTCCCTGCGAGCATGTTATTGGTACACATGTGACGTCTAGGGATGCTGCGCGGGTCAATAAGTGAATTCAAGTTCGAACCCGATCCTTCTATACGGATCAATAGAAGCTAACAGGGTTCGAACTCTCAAACAAATACGCAGTTGTAGCGACTGGTGTATTTATTTTAATACATTCATATTAGGCCGTCAAGGCCTACAATCAGGAGAATTCACCAAACAATGGCACGAAGCTTATGAGAAACCCGATCCTCGATCAACAGCTTGGTCGAGTTGACAAGGTTCAATCAACAAATTGAAGTGGCCCCAAACACCCCGATGATGGCCGTGTTGAATATAAATCTCGACCGGAGGGGTCCATTTGAAAAATATTTTTAAATGCTATCCTAAATACCCACAAAAATTCAAAAATCTCAAATACCAAGATATTTAAATTCGAAATAAATCCATCAATAACTTAAAGCAAAATGCATCCACCCTCCGCAATAGTTTGCCGGGGTGGACAAATTAAAATTTACTTCAGCTCACAAAAGAGCTAAATGCCTAGTCGAAAATATCACTAGGATCTATTCTCAAACAATCTCTTCAATAAGGACGTGGTACGTGTCCTCTAATCGGCAATTTTGCCGCCAAATGGCACTGCATGATAAACGGTTATGACCCAGGGCCCTCTGAACCGAGTGATTTTGCAGTCAAATGGCACCATGAAATACCGGTTATGGCTATAGTCAATATGCTCCTTAGTGGCATCAAATATTTGAGATATGAATCAATAGGATATAATCGATAGGGCACATAACCCTCTGTTAGCTAAGGTCGATTCAAATTTATCCCCTTAGATTAACACTCACCCTAAGTCTACAAGGTCCCCTTGGACGAAGCAACCAATGGCTGCCGACAAGGATCCTATTGTCAGGTTGGGTCGACTACCTCCTCTAACTAAGTAGACTAGGGACCATGATGGCCCGGGACGACGGAACCATGGGATCTTGATCGGATCCATCATCCATTCCCCCACCATCCGCTTTAAGTGCAAGATGGTGAAATTTTTATTTTAAATATCAAATCTTCAAATTCTTCAAATTCTCCAACTATTCCAAAAACCCATGCTGCTACTATATGCCAGATGCACATATCTTTACGTATCTGATTGACGACTAGCCTTAATAGGAAGTTCTCTCTCGTCATCGGGATTGGTAATTAAATATAGGGGCTTGTGCCTATAAGAAACCAGAACTCAGATCATAAAGTCCTCGCAAAATGAGGGCGAAATCTCTGAGTAGTGTCTTATCTACAAACACATCTGCTTTCCAAAATTTACCCCGGAACTTAGTCCGTTAAAACTCCCTCGCCGAATAAAACGCAAAAACAAACAAATGTGCAGCGGGGAGGCTGGGGCTGAATTTTCGGAGCCCACACATTTGCATTTACTAGCCCAAGTATCTAGTTGAAAAGATATGTGCATAAGGTTGTAAGACCTTTGTCCAGTAGCAAGTGGCTAAAAGTTGGCTAGTATTTACTTGAATATTTTCTGATAGATGAGAAACGAATGAACTGAAACATTTATTTCAATGTGTTGGATGGTTCATTGTGACCAAGCAATTTATAAAGCAGGCCTAAGAGGTTGAAATAATAATGCATTTCTTCTATGAATTGATAAATAAATGTTAATAAATGTTGTACTTGTCAGTAGATGTAGACATATTTTCAATCACAAAGTGGTTAAATAGTTTATGAGCATTTAAACATACTTGATTCCTTAAAGAAGGCCAACGAGTAAGAAGATATACCTTCTTTTCATTTCTAGATACTACTAAGATTCTTGCTGGAGGAAGAGGCTCTTCTTGAGCTTTCTTGCAAGAGAGAAGAAGAGAGGGGGAGGAGAGGTAGAGAGGGATAACAGGAATGATTAATTTGTCTTACAAGGGGAGTATTTTTACGTCAGCCTACACATCCTATTTATATTTTACATTGATAAGATGTCAATGCAGATCAACCTAACTTAAAACCGGACCAATTTACAACAAGTAACAATAAAAGAGAGAACTTATTTTTCAACTTACCTCGGGCTTCTTGACCTTAATTTAAGAAGTTTAGAATAAAGCAAGGGTTTTTTTTCCTTTTGTTCCGTTTTTTTTTTTTTTTTTTTTCTTACATAAATAACACTGGTCTTATTCAATCACTAGATTCCAACTATAATCTTATTTATTCATAGCTCTATTTGAAACTACGTGGACTTTATATATTCAAACTCCTTAGACCTTAGTCATCCACCTTCTATTAGTCTTTTTTTAAGGTTCTAATTTCCACGAGAAGAACTTTTTAGAAAATCAATCACGGTATTATGTAGTATCATAGCCATAAATATTATATGTTTATGTTGTGCAAATTGTGTGCCTTTTCTATATTTGAGAATTATGTTTTTGTCATATAAATTTTTATGGTTTTATCAACTATTTATTTTCCCTTTTAATGTTAAACTAAAATAAAATATTAAAGCAGACAAAGCAGTCAGCTCTCAGTTGGGTTGGCAAAAACGATTTGATATAATTCTTGGAATCGCACGAGGACTTCTCTATCTTCATCAAGATTCTAGATTAAAAATTATTCACAGAGATCTCAAGGTTAGCAATATTCTTCTCGATAAGGAGTTGAATCCCAAAATTTCAGATTTTGGCATGGCAAGGATTGTGGGAGGAGATCAAATGCAAGAAAGCACACAGAAAGTGGTTGGTACATTGTAAGTTTTCTATCATTCTCTATTTCACTAGCTATAATGTGAACCTGCAGCATATCTTATAGCTCACACATTTATATGACAGTGGATACATGTCGCCTGAGTATGCAATGCAGGGCATATTTTCAGTAAAATCTGATGTCTTTAGCTTTGGAGTTATTGTACTTGAAGTCCTTACTGGTAAGAAGAATAGAGTGTTTGATCCAAATGAAAGTCATGTGAGCCTGGTAGGTCATGTAAGTATTATTATAGAAGGGAAATCAATTTACATGTTAACTTTTGTTTTACACCATTACAAATTTAAGAATGCTTATGCAGGCCTGGACACTATGGTTAGAAAATAAATCCCTGGAGTTGATTGAAGATGCGCTGAAGTATGACTACCATGAGCAAGAAGTTCTGCGATGTATGCAGGTCGGCCTCCTTTGTGTGCAAGAAGGGAGTGAAGATAGGCCTACAATGGCTTCAGTGATTTTGATGTTGGGCAGTGAAGCCATGACACTGCCTCAACCTAAGAGGCCTGGCTTTTATCTCAAAGATGATTCTAAAGTACCAAATTTCTTAACACCGGATCATGTCGGTTGTACTAGAAATGATATCACTCTTACAATGATCCATGGTAGATAGAGAAGTTGAACCAGAACCTATTAATGGCCAGGGTGGTATAAATGATAGTGATAATGTGGCTGACACCTAACTAATTAATAAAGATTTTGTCGATGTATGGGCTATTTTTGCATAGCCGTTATATATTTCAAGAATATGATAGGCAGGAAATTGTGTGCTACTTCTCAAAAGTCTTCTTCGTCACTCAATAGTGCGACTACTTGATGTGTTTGTTATTAGTTTTGCTTTTATGGCTTATAGGCAACATAAGTGCTACAGTTGCTTTATATTGCTCTTTGGTCTTTGATATGTGTAGGTATCTTAATAAAGTTGAGTTTGATTTGGTTTGTAGTCAACCCCCTATTGTAGATCAAAAAATATTTCTCATGCAGATCGAAAAATACTTTTCTTTTTATTTGGTTTGGCTTGGAGTAAACTCCCTGTTGTACATCAAATACTATAGCTAATAAAGCTCTAATGAAGTTATTGGCTTGGGATATATTGATAGCCAGATAGTCGATTAATAATTTTCCTTGGGAATCAGCCCTTCCTCGAATAGTCGTCAGGATTGACTCCATAAATAGGAGTGGCTAGGGCCAACCATTAGGCTTTACTCGCCTATCAAGATGTTTATTTTTTTGTCATAGTCGCTTTCTTAAGATGAGATCTCTAGTAGGCTAGCAGGTATGAGGCTAAGTAGATATTTGCTTGATACTTTTTGAATTAGCTTGAGCCAGGTCGACTTAATTTGAACGAAATTTTTTGGATATTTGTTTTTTAAAAAAATGTTTGATTTTTTTTTCTTTTTTTCGCGCCAAAAGCTAATTTTTAGTCTAATTTTATCAATTATCTTAATTTTGTTTTCATATAAATATTTAAAATTCTAATTCGAAATGAGTGGAAAATAAATATCATTTTTAAATATATATTTTTTATTGGTATATGCAGCTAAATTTAATAGTCTATCATGGTCTTCCAAGTTTGTTAAACCCAGTGCTAGCCACTCAAGTCTTGGGAGTCAAGTTTATCCAATTAATTGGATTAAGTCAATCTATTTGAGCTAAGGAAACTTAGTAAATCTATTCATGCATCTTAATTGGCTAGCTTGACCAGCTAAGCTTCCCTAGGATCAATCCTAATTTGTTGTGTTCAAACCAACGGATAGATCACCGACAAGCATATTAGCGAAGTGCTTAAATAGAGAAAACAGTGACCATGAAGACGAGAATGTAAAGAATTTCACTCATATATTTACTGGAGCAGAAACTAATTTATATGAATAGATGTGAGTAGAATGGAGAAAAGACTAAATAGTTACATAAAGTGAAGATGTGCTGCTGAGCAAAGAAGGTGGCTGCAGAGTCAGAAGAAGGCCAGGTGTGAATTGTTAGTTGGAGAGTGGAGCTAAAGTAGCCAAAATATTTTTGTCATCGTCCCTCAAGTTGATGGGCAGAATGACCATTAACTTGCTATGAAGAATATGTAGTATGGTTGAGGGGAGTGACTTTGTAAAGATATTTGCAACTTGATCTAATGTAAATATGTGATGAACAACAAGATGCTTAACTTGAATGCAATCACGAACGAAGTGATGATCAATCTCGATGCGCTTGGTGCGTGCATGGAAGATCGGATTGGAGGCTATGGACAGCTGAAACATTATCACAGAAGATGGGAGTTGTATTGAGGGGAATGTGAAAATCCTAGCAGAGGCAGCAAATCCAAATCAAATTAGCTACAACTACGGCAAGAGAGTGGTACTCAGCTTCCATTGACGATCTCTCAATTGTGAACTCACTATAAGGCTTAAGCAGTGAGGTAGGAGGATAACGTTGCAAACCATAAGCGAGGGGCATGTTTTGAACCATAAATAGCTTTGCGTGGAAGTCAAACATGATGTGGCATTGAGAGTCTTGAAATCCTTGAGGTTGGGTCATGTAGATAGTTTTGTCAAGTTTGCCATGAAGAAAGGCGTTGATGACATCGAGTTAAAGTATTGGCCAATTGTTATGGAGAGCAACTGTGAGAAAGAGCCGAATTGTATGGAATTTAACTACGGGGCTGAAGGTTTCATGGCAGTCGACACCATATTTCTGCTTGCAGCCTTGTGCAATAAGAAGGGCAATGGAGCCATCGACGAGGCGTTTTATTTTGTAAATCCATTTGGAACTGATGATTTGTTGGTTGGATGGAGGAGGCACAAGGGACCTGGTGCCTTGGCTCGAAGGGCATGGAATTCGGCAAGCATGGCTTTACGCCATTCTGGTAGTTTGTTGGCAGTGGTAAAGTAGGTAGGAGTGGATTGAATAGTGTGATGAAGATCAAGAATGATGTGTGGTTTAAGAGATCCTGTGTGAAGTCTAGTAACCATGGGGTGATGAGGTTGTATGATAGGTGGAGGAGGAGGGATTGGAGAGAAATTGTTGGAGGATGTTGGAGACAGGCTAGGAGAAATGGAGAATGTAGAAGAGGCGAATGAATTATTGGAGGATTTAGTGGGATTGTTAGAGTTTTGTTGTAGAGAAGAATGGGTAGTAGAGGGTGTTATGGGGATAGGGAGATTGGTAATGGGAGGGAAAAGTGGTGCAACAGCTGAGATTGGAGGGGTGACTTCTTCAGTGGTGGGAGTGGAGATGGAAGAAAAGGTTGATTCATCGAAGGTAACGAAACAAGAGACATGTATTTCGCTAGAGATGGGGTTATATCATTTGTAACCTTTTTGTTGAAGAGTGTAGCCGAGGAAAATACAAGGAGTAGATCTCAATGCTAATTTGTGAAGAGCATAAGGTCAAAGCCAAGGGAAACATCGGCAGCCAAACGTGCGAAGCTAGTTGTATAAATGTGGAATTGTAGAGAAGCTCGTAGGGAGATTTAGAGGAGGTGGTTGATGAGGAAAGTTGGGGTATGTGAGGATTCGATCCAGAACTGTGGTGGGAGATGGGCAAAGATGAACAGTGTTCGAGCCGTATCTAAGATGTGGCGATGTTTTCATTCAGTAGTTCAATTTTTCTGGGAAGTGTGAGGGCAAGTATACTGATGAGTTATGCCATTGTAAGTTAGGAAGGAGTGTAAGACATTGTTAAGGAATTTGCCTCCGCTGTTAGTTCTAATGGTTTGAATGGGTAAATTTAAGTATTTTTCAAAAAGATTCTTAAACTGAATAATGGTTTGAGGGAAATCAGATTTTTATTTGAGAGCATAGAGCCAAGAGTTGTGTGTGTAATCATCTACTAATAGTCAGTAATAATAAAAACCATCATAATATAAAACAGGGGAACACACCCAAACATTGGCATGGATTAATTTTAATGGAGACTGAGATACATATTGAGAACGAGAGAAAGAAAGCATATGAGTTTCAGCTAATTCGTAGGAATTACATAAAGGATGAGAGGAGGGATACATAAAGTAGGAAATGACTTAGATAAAATAGCAAGAACGTTTGAATTTGGATGACCCAAACGTCGATACCATGTGTGAGCTGGGGAGGGAGCGTCCATTATAGCTGCAGCGACGAGAATGGTAGGTGTAGATGGGTAGACCGAAACCGAATAGAGGTCATTATGGCATGCACGAACCTTTGAGAAGTGTTCAATTGGTCGTCCGATTCCTAACATGAAAATCAGAATTGTCAAATTAATATAATGGAGTAGTGGTTATCATTGATAAGTTTAGAGATAGAAAGGAGTCAGTGGGAGAGCTTAGGAACATGAAGTAATGGAGTAAGAGAAAGCTTACGGGTAGGTGTGGGTAGAAAACTGTTACTATAGTGTTGTATAGGTAGAGGAGCTTTGTTGCCAACAAACACTTAATCCTTGCCAGAATATGGCGTAGGTTTATGACATAAGATAGTATAAATCGTCCAAGCTAATTGGATGTAGAGAGGTTCTAATTGTTGTTTTAAATAGCTAATAAGAGGGGGGAAATCCATTTAAGATATAAAGGAGGATGTCTTCATTGTCGACGGGACTGTCGGCAACATTTATGTCGTCCACCAAGGTCCTAACGTAAGTAAGATAATCAGTCATAGATTTGTTTATGCATGGATAATGAATGGAGCTCATTATTCAATAGAATAACATGAGAACGATTGGTAGAGAAGAAACAGTGTTTGAGAGTTTTCCAAATCGACGCAGAGGTGTCAAGATTTAGAATATAGGTTCTCCCCTATATTCTAATATAAATTTAAATTGTGGATAAGAGAGCCACTGAGAGAATTTGATCCACAAGAGTCCAAGAAGAAAATTGAGGATTAAGCGTGAGTTGGCCGGTGGCAATAAGTAGATGTTTGGGTGGGCAAGGTTGGCTACCATCAAGGTAGTCGGAGAAGTTGTTCGTTGCGAAGAGCTTTTGAATTGCATAATGCCATGTGGGGTAATTGTTGGGGAGGAGTTGAACATTAATAATGTTATTGATATTAGAGAGAAGAAATTTGAGGGTAGTAGGGATTAAGACATCGGTGGAAGCCGGCATGTTAGATGTTAGTATCGAAGGTGTGGATGGAGCGAACGCCACAATGAATCTCAAATAATAAGTTATGTTCAAATGTAGTTATGATATTTAGATAAGCGCATATGAAATTTTTGCTTGAATATAGCTGCATTTTTATAAATTATATATAAACATTACAACATACTAAAAAGAACATCCCAATTAAGAGCCCACATGGGGTGAAGGAATCATGCGGGTATGATTGTCTAAAATTTAATATAATATTATATGAAATTTTAAATTTCCTAGAAAAAAAAAAAAGAATATCCCAATGAAATGCGACAATTTTAATTTGTAGTTTATATGGCTAAAAGCTACATGCATTCATTAATCAAATCTATGTTATCTCCTAACAAGCATTGCCAATGCTACCTCATTTATAGAATCAGAGTTTTGCTAAATTAAACTTGAATGGCTCACTTCAAATGAATGCATCCTTACAACAAAATCAGGACACTTAGGTTTCGTTAGGACGACTTTTTTATTACTTTTTAAAATAGAGTTTTAGTAGAAATTCTGTTTTTAGAAGCAATAAAAAATCACTCTGAACAAATCCTTAGGCTCTAGTAATACATCTTTATCACTGATTAACATTAGAATAATAGAAGGCATCAATGGTATGTCATTAGGGTGTTCCTGAACGCACAAAAGCCCAACTTTTATGCATCTTAATACTTCAGCAATAAAGAAGGATTTGCTTATTGATTCATCAACTAATTCTAAAACCTTTCCTTTATTCCATAAGCGCCATGCCTGTGTTAGAGAATATATATTTTTATATAAATGTTGTTTCAAATTAATTTATGTAAAGAATAAAATATAATAGAACTTACCATTTCTACCAGATGATTATTGGATTGAGAAGTAGAAGAACCTCTATTCCTTTGACTGGTTATAAGCTCAAGAACTATAACACCAAAACTAAATACATCATATTTAGCAGAAAAGATGTCTTCTATCACATACTCTGGAGACATGTAGTTGCTGCATGAAATGATTTTGTTTGCATAATTAATATATATCCAAGCTATATGAAAATAATATCTCAAGGATCCATTATTATATATACATCATAAGCAAATAGCTCTTTTTCGGTCTCATATTTTGCCTGATCTTCTTCAAATATTCTTGCTTAGCCAAAACCGGAGATCTTAGGCTCCATCACTGGGTTAAGAAGAATGTTACAAGCTTTCAAATATCTATGAATAACTCGAATTGTTGAATCTTGATGAAGATAGAAGAATCCTCAAGCTATTCCAACTATTATGTTATAATGCTCTTTCCAATTTAGCAACATCATATTTTCCTTATTTGCTCATGGAGTAGTACTTAAGTGTAAGTTTGCCAATAGATTAAAATATTTGCAAAATATGTCTAACCTGTATTTTGTGAGGCCTAATGCAAGCTTTTTTTTTTTAATCAAATTGACCCCAAATAAAAAAAAAATTGGAAAAAATTAATTAGAAGCAATATTTAGGGCCCAATTTTTTGCAAATTATTGGATAAAAACTAATCAGAAGTAATATTTAGAATCTTACCAAATAGAAAAGTATCCAAGCTCTTTTTTGGCATGTACTCATTCCAAAAAAAAAAAAATGCTAATACAGATAGATTTGAACAAGATGAAATTTATATATTGAGCATGTTATCACATCCTTCACGCAAGTTATTTGATAAAGGGGCCTACGCCCCTGCATAAGAATGCCCTCACCTCATGTGGACCTATTTTTTGGTTTCTTCCTATTCCACAAAAGAAATACCTTAGAAGAAGAGAAGCATGACTTAAATCATACAAGTGAAAACAGGTTTAATTCTAAGTTTTGCTTGAATGAATTAGTGAAGAGAACAAGTGAATATAAGAAACCAATTCAATTTTAAAATGGATAGTTCATATCTTTATAATTTTGATTGTGAGAAAGATGCAAATTCAACTATTCCTTGCTCTGCTGATGATTTGGCTTTGTTGAAGGATTTTCTTAAAGATATTAGGATCCTCCTATATGATCAAGATAGAGAATCTGCAGCTGATACTAAAATAAAACTTGAAGCCATGGACTACAAGGTATATTCATATTGCAAAGAAGAAGATGCAGTAGAAGTTGTTTTAAAGAAGACTGAGAACTACCATATTATAATTGTGGAGGCTATTACTCTCAATGGTTATGACAACTTTAAATTCCTTGAAATGGTTAAGGGCATTCCAACTAAAGTTATTTTGGAATTTCATTGTTTGAACAATATGATTAATTAGTGTATAGTGCTCAGTGCTTGCATCATCAGATTCGCAACATAGATACAAGAGGATAGAAGGTGTAGTTTTTAAACTTTAAAATTGAAGCATTACACACTCCACTGGATCTGCAACACATGTATGAGTGTATTAGAGCATACTGATATGTAATTATATTATATATGTTATTATTTCTATATTGCAACGTGGTTGTAAATCACTGGTTCTGTATTGGTAACGTCTTGGTACACGTCTATATATATATATAGACCTGTATGTATTCCGTATGAAGTGAGTTAATAAGATTATTTTTCTTTCACTATTCTTTCATGTCTCTCTCGGCTTTCTCCTTCTGGTCTTGTTCTTGCTCAAGAACAAGACATCGGTTCATCCCTGATTCTTCAGAGTGTACGGAAAACTTTTTTTGAATTTCAAATCAAATCTTGCAAACTTTCTATTGGGGTGATTTACGGATTATGAGAGAGAGTAAAGCACCACGATGAAACACAAACAATAAAGTAAAAGCAGCGGAAAATGAAAGCCACCATAATTTAGCGTGAAAAAATTCAAATTAGGGAAAAAATCACTGAGTCATATCATACCAAGAAATCCACTATGAAAATTATAAGAAATAAGTACATATCTCTATTCTCTCTCAGTCTCTCCTTGCTTCTCTACTCACATGCACCGTTCACAATATCAAAACCCTAAGAAAATATAGGAGAAAAGCTGGTAATAGAATGACTCATTCAAATATACCCGAGCCATAGATGTCTCTCAATTATAGCAAGAGCCACGTATCCATGGTCGTTTTTCATGATCGATGTCACTTGGCCACCGCCGATATTCTCAATCAAGCTACAAGACATGCACGCACCTTCAAGGACATAGCTACGATTTCCTATGTTCTAGCAATTCTCAGCCCACGATCACGTAAAATGATTTTTCTTTGGGAAATTTACATGCATACCATCTTATTTTATGCTATTTACATATCTAACACTCAAAACATTAATATTACATGTCTACCACCCATATACAATTTTAATATCAAATATACCACTCATATAATTCATTTATATCATTCATACAATCTTATAAACTTTAATATTTCATTCCATGCACTCAAATTTATTCTATGGGTGGTAGTCATGTAATATTAATGTTTTAAGTGTTAGATATGTAAATAGCATAAAATAAAGTGGTATGTATGTAAAACCCCCTTTTTCTTTTTGCTAATGGATTTACCATCATGACCAGAGGATTCGCCTTCTCAAAAATGTAATATAGCCAGAATACAAATGACTTATCCAAATACTTGCCTATATGTTGTTTATTATAATAATTTTTTTATTTTCTAAGATAAAGTAGTTCATGTAGCCTTTCAAATCCTACGAATAAAAGGTGTAAAGGAATATTTTGGATATTTGTTGATACTTTTAAATTCATTGACATTTCTAGTTCTCTCTAGATTTTGCATTGCCTATTTATAACATACAGAGAACCCTGCTATCAATACTGACTCAAATCAGCTTGGGCTTCTCAGCTTTCACCTAGAGATCGCCTTCGAGGATTCTCTACGAATAAATTCAAATTCAACACAGATCATTCTTCCTATAAGCTTTTCCACTAACCTCAAACAAACAGCCGGCATATACATACAAAAGAACAAGCCTAAAGTTTAATAAATCACAAAAAAAAAATTCAATGTGTATGAAAAAAGAATAATATGTATCAGAACTATGCCTATGCTAAGACAATATATAAGCTTGACGTTGTGTGACAATAAGAATAATCTTGGAAGGACTGATGCTCCTAATTTTGAGATCGGGTAAGTGGCCAGATGATCGACGGAAGCTTTTCCTCCCCTCTCACCCCGCCATCGAATCCCCTAACGTCCCAAAAAAAATCTCCTAATTTTATGTGAGTTCGATTAAAATCATATTAAAACAAGCAAATTACATTATCAGGTACACATAAAATAACTATGGGTAGGCATAACTGTCAACAAGCATTTCTCACTTTTACTACAAAATTTCTCGTAAAGGGCAATGATGAGAGGTGATGCAAAGTATTTTAGCTTAAAATGCTCCTTAGGTTATTTTATTTAATTTGTTACAAGTTTTCTAGAATCTTCTTGGATTCTCTAGGTTTTCGCTAATTAAATATTATATATGGTATGTATAAGAGGAATGGAACACATTGATGAATATTATATGAATTGAAGCCTCTGAGTTTGATTTGTTATCTTGTTCTTGGAAATACTTCAAGCATCATCTTCTTCTAACGATCCAATGATCTACTCCCAACATCAAGAGGCCAGTATTAAATTATGGATACAACATATGATACTAAATTCAATGGGAAGATCATACGGTTGAGATTTTGTTTAGATGATTTTTTATTATTTTTTAAACTAAATTTATACTAAAAAATTTTAATTTTTATATTAAAAAATTGTTTTTAAAAATAATGATCGTGAATTCTATCGTTATAAATGAAATTATGTAGTGAAATCCATACGACCGAATGACCGATTACATTGAAGTATTGATCTTTTAATTACATAAAAATTTTCAATTTTATCTAATCTTCTAACAATTTTCCTTCAGTTTTATTCAACAGACCCTCCAAGACGTCAACAAGGTAATGCCTCTAGATTAAGGTACACCACAAACTTTTTTCCAATATTTGAAGGAACAGAAGTCAGGTATTTATCGAACACAATTAATGCTGCCGTGGAGGAAATGCAACATAAGTGGACCTTGTATTTTCACAGTACAAGATTCATATGTTGTCAGTCTCCGGTCTTCTTCCTAGGAGGCTAGGAAGAATAAAATCACTAGATATCAATCAAAAAAATATTTTTTCTTCTTCGACTTCCAACTTTCCTCTGCTACTTGTTACTGAGAGATCCTCCTTAATGGCTTTTCTACTTGCACTTCCTCTTAGCTGTAATCTCTTCTCTTTACTTCGCATGGTTTTCTTCATGGTTTTTGTTTCTGCAAATGCCCCTCTTTCAGCCCCAACTGATACCATTTACCCTGGGCAATCTCTAACTGGGAGCCAAACCATTATCTCCAAAGAAGGAAACTTTGAGCTTGGCTTCTTCTCTCCTGGTAAGTCGTCTAACTTCTATATTGGCATCTGGTACAAAAAGATCTCAAAGCAAACTGTGATTTGGGTAGCAAATAGAGAAAAGCCAGTGCTCAATACTTCTTCCGCTGAACTCAAATTATCTGATGATGGCCATCTTGTCCTACTTGACAACTTCAAAAACTTCATCTGGTCATCCAATTCAACCCGTCAAACATCAAATTATACATCTGCCGTTCTCCTCGACAATGGAAATTTGATATTAAGAGACCTTTCAAATAACAGTACTGTAACTTGGCAGAGCTTTGATCACCCAACTGACACTTTTGTACCTGGAAGTTGGATTGGCATGAATAAAATAACAGGAGAATATCAAACACTAACTTCATGGAAAAATTCGGAAGATCCTTCACCTGGATATTTTTCTGAAACAATAGATCCCAGTGGAACAAGCGAGTTCTTCCTTGAATGGAACAAAACTATAAAATATTGGCGCAGTGGGCTTTGGACTGGACATTACTTCGCTGCTGTTCCAATACTTCCTGAAATGAAGCCGCATACTATTGTCACCGTTACTTATGTTGACAACAAGGAGAGAAGATACACCACATGCTTTTATCGTGATCCATCTAGTTCTAAGATTACAAGGCAAGTGATGGATGTTGCTGGGCAAATCAAGCAATTTGTATGGATGGATGACCTCAAAGATTGGGCTCTGTTCTTTTCTAGACCATCACTAAAATGTGATATCTATTTCCTCTGCGGTCCTTTCGGAGTCTGTGATGAAAAAAGCTCTCTTGTCTGTGGCTGTGCTCATGGTTTCCAACCGGCGTCTTTGAGAGACTGGCAATTGAATGATTGGAGCAGTGGTTGCGAAAGGAAGACGAAGCTCCATTGCAGCGGCAACATTTCTGATGAGAAAGTTGGATTTCTTAAAATGCCCAACATGTTGCTTCCTTCAAATTATGTGCATTTGAGTGTCTATAGCTTAGAAGATTGCAGGTCAGCCTGCTTAAGCAACTGCTCGTGTAGTGCTTATACATATAACGGCAGTGGCTGCTTAACTTGGAATGAAGAGCTTCGAAATCTTCAACAGCTCTATGATGGTGATGACAGAGCTCAAACAATATATGTTCGCCTTGCAGCTTCTGATCTTCCAAGTTCGAGTGATGATAACAAGAGGTCTATCATCATAATATGTATAGCTGTAGTATCTGGAGTTGGAGCTGTCTTGTGTGCTTTACTCTGTCTTGCATTGAGATGCCGAAGAAAAATGTTCATTAGCATTAAGAAGGAAGGAGAAGGACCGTTGATTCGATTCACCTATGCTGAATTACAGTATATGACGAAGAATTTCTCAGAAAAATTGGGTGTTGGGGGATTTGGCTCTGTTTTCAAAGGGGCAGTGCCTGATTCAAATGCTATAGCAGTGAAGAGACTCGAAGGTGTTCAACAAGGAGAGAAGCAATTCCGAACAGAAGTGAGCACGCTTGGTTTTATTCAGCACATCAATCTGATTAACCTTCGAGGTTTCTGCTCAGAAGGTAACAACAAATTATTGGTCTACGACTTCATGCAAAATGGCTCCTTAGATTCCCGTCTCTTCAACGAAAACTGCGAGGTTTTAAGCTGGAGAACAAGATATGAAATCATACAAGGAATAGCAAGAGGATTAGCTTATCTCCATGAGAATTGCAGGGAATGCATTGTACATTGTGATATAAAACCAGAAAACATACTTCTAGATGAGAAGAACTGTCCTAAATTGGCGGATTTTGGTATGGCAAAACTCATAGGAAAGGATTTCAGTCGTGTCTTGACAACCATGAGAGGAACAATAGGCTACCTTGCACCAGAATGGATCTCTGGCCTGCCAATCACGCCTAAGGCTGATGTCTACAGTTTTGGAATGATGCTTTTTGAAATTATATCAGGTAGAAGAAACAGAATTCCTGAATTTGACTTTACATTTTTTCCAGCATGGGCTGCTTCTAAAATATCACAAGGTGAAGTCCTTGTTCTATTGGATGAAAGATTGAAGGGTGATGTTGCAATAGAAGAATTGGTTATTGTATCTCGAATAGCTTCGTGGTGTATTCAGGACAGTGAGTCTCATAGGCCATCAATGGGGCAGATTGTTCTGATCTTGGAGAATATTGCTGAGGTGAATGTTCCTCCTGTTCCAGGATCACTTAAAGAACTTGCAGAAAATAAGGATTTAGAATCAGATGTTTATTACTCTGCAACTTTATCTTAGTCATAAATTAATCTCTTCTAGTGTTGTTGCAATGTTTCTAGGGAGCTTAGTTTTTTCCCCCACTTTGCATGTTGCTGCCTTATATATTTGTTTTGGTTGTGGATGTTTTTACTAGACATTTGCAAGAAGATGTATTTTGGTATATATTTTTTGTTGAAGATATTTTTCTTGTTGATAAGACTAGAGAGGGAGTTGATAAAAAAAGTTGAATTATGGAGACCAATTTTAGAGTAAAAGTTTTGATTTGAGTACATCTAAAATGTTTTCCATTGTTGTTTGGTCAATAGCGGCGGCCTAAATTTCAATATATGATAAATGGATGCTTCCATGGATGTGACAATAGAGAGTGGAGACAAGGATGGACTCTAGATTAAGGCATCGTTTGAGATGACTTTTTCATTGCTTTTTGAAATAGAGTTTTAATAAAAAAATTAAAATTTTTGTACTAAAACTCTGTTTTAACATGCAATAAAAATTTCGTCTCAAATGAAGCCTAAATGAACCCTTGGTGATGTATCATGTATGAATAGTAAGGATGTGGATTGATTGAAATCAAGTTGGAGAGTTTCATAATTAATCTTTGAGGTTTATTACTCTGCTTAAATTTGTTGGTCATTTATTGGAGTTTCATGGAAAGCAAGACCCATAGTGAAGATTCTTACCATGGTTTCTTCAAAAATCTTGGAATATTCTAAGGTGATATATTAATTTATATACACGATATCTTTCCTATGTTGATAATCTTTCTTTTTTATATTTTTTGTGTAATTCTTTTTATTCTATAACATTATTATTTATCATGTATGGTTTAAATATCTTCTTAACATGTCGTACGTAGTATTATTAGTATTAATAAAGTAATATAAATTTTCTTAATATAAAAATTCAAAATAGTGAAAAAAATTTACCTAAAATGTAATGAGAAATAATAAAATATTAAATGCTTTCGTTTAATTAACATAATAAAAAAGTTGAACAAATTAACTGATCTCAATTTTTAAGATCATTCTAAGAAAATCGGATCAAATATTCTCACCCAATTTTTTTTCCATTCAAACTTTCAATTGATGAAAAGTAGAGACTTTGGAACTTTGCTGTAAAAAGAGATAGAAATCGCACAGTGAAATGGTAAAAATTAAAAGTGTCAAATTGAATGAGCCTTTTGAAAAAATGTCAAACTGAATGAACCAACAAAAAATTTAAATTTTTGAACAAGTGTCAAATTGAATGAAAATTTTGACTTTAAATATCTCATAATATATATAATTGATCAAATATGTTTGTTTTTTCTATTTTATTGAATAAATAAGGCTGAATTTTTTTTCAGCTGAAATTACTCTTCTTATGTCATGAAAAATCATCTTGATCGTGTACGAATCTCGAGACATATTCAAGTTGAAAACTTTTGATGTGGTATACACGGAAGAAGCAGGTTCACACAAAGAACAAACTGAGAGGCAAAGAAACGGTAAAGGCTTGAAGCCAAAATGTGTATTTGATCAACTGTGGAAGTCATCTTCTTTAGGGAAGATATACAGTAAAACTAACAAGAGAGTCGCTGCCTCTTGTAGAAAATGGCTCCAACAACTAAAAAAAAGCCAGGCGCTAACAGACATTTAAAAAGGAAACTAAACTAGTGGACTTGCAACAGTAACAGAAAGCATAAAATAGGGAAATACTATAAAAACTAATATAAGTGTAAAGTGCACCCCCTTGGCTAAGATGCACCGCATCATTCTCCCCCACCAACGGAAGAATCAGTCTCTAATGATGAAACAGTTGTCAGGGCCTCGTCCGGGGGATGATACGCCATAAGATCGGTGACATTGAATGTGGACGACGTGTTGTAGTGGCTTGGCAAATCCACAACATAAGCATTTGCATTAATTTGTTTGAGGATGGCGAATGGTCCGATCCTTCTTGGGCTTAGTTTTGAATATGTACCCTGTGCAAATCTTTCTTTTCTCAGGCGAACCATGACTAAATCACCGGGTTTGAAGATACGCTCACGGCGACGCATATCAGCTTTCTCTTTATACTTGGAATTCGACTCATGGAGCTTCTGTCGGACTTCTTCTAGCATAGTAGCAAATTGATTGGCAAAATCAGAGGCGGACTTGTTAGCACATTTGGGCAACACCGCAATGTCTACAGTGTGGTTCGGGTGCTTGGTGTATACCACGCTGAATGGGCTTCTTCCTGTGGATCGGTTTGGCATGCTATTATAGGCAAATTCTGCTTGTCCGAGCAGTTCATCCCACAATTTTGGGTGCTCCTGAACTAGACAACGAAGCATGTTGCCAAGGGTTCGATTTACAACCTCGGTTTGCCCATCCGTTTGTGGGTGGTATGCCGAACTGAGCTTGATGTCTGTCTGCAATCGCCTCCATAATTCCTTCCAAAAATGACTTATGAACTTAACATCACGATCAGATGTTAAACTTCGTGGCAATCCATGGAGTCGCACGACCTCCTCAAAGAAAATGCGGGCTACATTCAAAGCATCAAATGTTTTCTTACAAGGCACGAAGTGTGCCATCTTCGAAAATCTGTCTACGACGACCATTATTGAATCATGACCACGCCGAGTTCGTGGTAAACCCATTACAAAATCGAGGCTTAGATCTTCCCATATAGTCTCCGGCGTTGGTAACGGAAGGTATAGTCCAGCAAGCTGCCCACCGGTCTTATAGCTTTGACACACTGGACACCTTTCCACAAATCGTTGCACATCACGATGCATATGCGGCTAATAAAACCTGGACTGCAGTTGTGCATATGTATTGCTTCTACCCACATGGGCTGCTAATCCCCCACAGTGGATTTCCTTGATGAGTTGAGGTCGCCAAGAGGAGTCAGGTATACATAACTGATTATGCCGGAATAGGAAACCATGCCTTATGGAGAACTCCCGAGGTGGGTTGCTGGATAAACATTCCTTCCAAGTTTTTGCAAAATCTTCATTTGAAGTATACAGCTCCTTCAAGCATTCAAGTCCGGTGATTTCTGTCCGCAGTTCAGTCAGTAGATTATGCCGCCGGCTGAGTGCATCGGCTACTTTGTTTTGAACTCCTAATTTGTGTTTCAGGACAAAGGTGAATCGTCGTAGGAATAAGATCCATCTAGCATGCATCCAATTAATGTGTTTCTGGCTGTTAATGTACTGCAACGCCCGGTGATCACTGCATAATACAAATTCCTGATGCAAGAGATATGGCTCCCACATCTTGAGCGCTCGCACAACCGCATACAGCTCTTGCTCATAGACACTCCATTTCTGTCGGGATTCACATAACGTTTCGCTGAAGAATTCAACCGGTTTGTTATCTTGACTTAGAACTGCTCCAATGCCAATGGCGGACGTGTCAGTATCGACCAGAAACGGTTTCTCAAAATTAGGCAAGGCTAGTACAGGTGTCGTGGATAGTGCACATTTTATGGCTTGAAAGCTGGCTTCTTGCTCCCCTCCCCACTGAAATTGCTTCAGCTTCAAACAATTTGTAATTGGCGCCATCATGGTACTAAAATCTTTGATAAATCGGCGATAAAAATTGGCGAGCCCGTGGAAGCTACGTACATCCGCAAATGAGGATGGAGTTGGCCAGCTAGTGATGGCGTCCACTTTCCGCTGATCTACTTGTAAACCTGCAGCGGATAGCACAAAACCGAGAAAGTAGACGGATGACGCGGCAAATTCACACTTACTTGGATTTAGGTAGAGTTGATTTTGTCTGAGAGTCGGGAGAATGTCCGCCAAATGAGTGATGTGTTCAGCCAATGACATACTATAAACTAGTATATCATCAAAGTAAGCAACGCAAGATTTGTTGAGAAATGGCTTAAGAACCTCGGTCATCAAGCGCATGAAGGTCGACGGAGCGTTGCACAACCCAAATGACATGACCTTCCATTCGAACAACCCTTGCCGCGTTTTGAAAGTCGTCTTCCACTCGTTGCCGGGCCGAATCCGGATTTGATGATAACCACTTCGGAGATCAAGCTTTGAGAACACCGTAGCTCCCGATAGTCGCTCTAGCAGCTCTTCAATTCTGGGGACAGGGAACTGGAATTTGATTGTGATTTTGTTGATTGCACGGCTGTCCATGCACATCTGCCACGTACCATCTTTCTTGGGGACTAGAAGTGCTAGCACAGCACAAGGACTAAGGCTTGGCTGAATCAGATTCTTCTCTAGAAGCTCATCGACTAGCTGTTGCAGAATTTGGTGTTCTTTAGGACTGAGTCGATGGTGCGGCAGGTTTGGAAGAGTCGATCCTGGCACAAAGTCTATCTGATGTTGTAAAGCCTGGAGAGGTGGCAGAGAGCCCGATACAGGTTCGACCAAGACATCCTGAAATTGTTCCAGTACCCCCGCCACTTCAGGTGTTGTATCAGGATGAGCTCTAAGCGGAGCTTTTTCTTTGAAGACCAATGCAAACAGCATGGCATTGTCCTTCCAGGAGGAAAGTAGGCCATTCCCTGTAACAAAATGCAGAGCAGGTCGATTTCCCATAGCTCCTTGGTCTGTTGCCTGCGGTAGTAGCCGTAGCTTGCGCCCTTTCCAATCTAATGAGTATGTGTTTGCCCTCCCGTCATGGACCGCACCAACATCAAATTGCCATGGTCGGCCTAAAATTATATGGCTCACATCCATCTCTACCACATCACATAATACTTCGCAATTGTAGTGTTTTCCAATTGAAAATTGAATCCGGCACATATCAGTTACCATGATCTCCATGCCCTTCTTTACCCAGCTTATCTTGTATGGTTGCGGATTTTTAGTGGTCTTTAACTGTAGGGCCTGCACCAGGGCATGGGAAACCACATTCTCGGTGCACCCGCTGTCGATAAGTAAATCACAAACCTTTCCTCCGATGGTACATTTTGTCCTGAAAATTGAATGCCGTTGAGAGTTGCCTTGTTTCTTTGGGGCTAGTAACAGTTTCTCCAAAATGCATATGACAGGTTCACCTTCATCTCCCACAACGTCCTCCACATCAGTGGCCTCATCTTTCTCTAACTGCTCGGGGCTGATTTCTCCTTCTCCATCCAACAGTTGCAACTGCTGTCTATTAGGACATTCGTTGGATTTATGACCCTGTTGGAAACACCGGAAGCACTTGATCCCTTGCGGCCGAGGATAAGGATTCTCAGTCACAGGGAATTTTGATTTCACAGGCAGCTTTGCTTCCGAACCTGGCTTGGGTGGAACGCCAAAGGCGCTATGATCAACCATTGGAGTGTGCTTGCGGTAAGCGGTTGCAGGCTGGGTAGCAGTTCCAGACTGTTTGAGAACCTCAGTTCCTCCCTCAACAGCTGGCCCACGGTACGCGCTACTTCGAGAATGTCGTGCCAATTGAAGCTCTGCTTTAAGTGCGAAATTTACTGCTTGAGATAGTGACCAGACAGAGTTTAACTCCAACTTATCATGAATGTGGTCTTTTAAACCCCCAATGTAACGGGCTACAAGCTGATTGTTCGTCTCATTCAAATCATTCCGCGCTGATAACCGATAGAACTCCTCCGTGTACTCGCTGACGGAACGATTCCCTTGCACACAATGTTGATACTTTAAATACAACATTTGCTCATAATCAGTGGGGAGAAAATGTCCTCGAAGTAATTGCTTCATCCGCATCCAACTGCGAACTGGTCCGCGTCCTTCCCTCCGTCGTGATTGTAATAGCTGCGACCACCACGCGCTCGCCCCTCCCTTAAGTCGGCAAGCAACATATTTGACCTGCTTATCAGGTTGAATTTCCATGTAATCAAAGAAGTTCTCTACAGATCGTTCCCAGTCTAAGTAATCCTCTATATGTAATCTGCCATCAAAGAAAGGGATGTCAAGCTTCACTCGGAACTCTCCCTGGTGTCGGTCACGGCCCCAATGACGTCGCTGGCGACGATCACCCAAATCAGCGTCAGAATCCGACAACCCTTCTGGATGGTAGCTTTCATGCTCGTCCTCCGAATCAGATAACTCCGGCAATAATGGAGCTCGTCTACGCCCCCTGTTACGAAATCCGCCGATTCCGCCGATTCCGTCCACAGGCGTACCGGTGAATGGTGCTGGTCTTCCTGTCCGGAGATTGAACTCACCTGTGCGGTTCACTGGTGGCTCCCGGCGTAAGGCCGCCGTGAGTTGGTCCACTGCAGCCGCGATTTCGTCGATCCGTTTTTCGACACCAGCATGTGCAGCCCAAAGTGCCTCCAAACTTCGGTCATCCCCGCTCGTCACACGCTTGCTGGACTCTGCCATCTGCCCGAACCTCTGGCTCTGATACCAAGATGATGTGGTATACACGGGAGAAGCAGGTTCACACAAAGAACAAACTGAGAGGCAAAGAAATGGTAAAGGCTTGAAGCCAAAATGTGTATTTGATCAACTGTGGAAGTCATCTTCTTTAGGGAAGATATACAGTAAAACTAACAAGAGAGACGCTGCCTCTTGCAGAAAATGGCTCCAACAACTAAAAAGAAGCCAGGCGCTAACAGACATTTAAAAAGGAAACTAAACTAGTGGACTTGCAACGGTAACAGAAAGCATAAAATAGGGAAATACTATAATAACTAATATAAGTGTAAAGTGCACCCCCTTGGCTAAGATGCACCACATGAACTTTCAAAATTAAATTTGTGATCATATGAACCTCAATTTCAGTAAACTTATAGTCAAACTGAATGTATCGAAGAGATAATCCCAACTGCACCAAAATCGGTCCAATCTCACCCCAAATGGATCCAAATCGGGGATCGAACCTTATTTGGAAGGTTCACAACCAAAATTGTATGGCCAAAGGACATTCAAATATGATATGCTTATAGTCGAATCGACCGGCTCGACAAGACAAATCCAACGAGCTTAAGATCGCTTAATTATGACATCATCTAGGCACTTAAATGCTTGAAAAATACTTTATGATCGAAGGGATCAATATGAGTCATCCGATGGATCACTCCAAATCTGTCACAAACCCTCTCCATATTTAAAGGGCATATCACTGTCAAAAATCCATAAGTTGACCCCCTCTTCGCTCATTAAGGGGGGCTTGGGGTTTGGACCTTTGGTTGGAGATTGGAGAGAACGCTAAGGCTTCAAGAGCTCCCGTATCATCGCCGACAAACCTCCGATCTTTATCGCCCGCCGATTATAATCATTTTGACCACCTTCGTTTGTCGACTATAGTCCCTCCGACCATCGTCACCCACAGACCATGGAACATTCGACCACCATCGCCCACCGAATATGGTCCCTCCGACTTTCGTCGCCAGCAAATTACTATCCCTTCGACCACCGTCACCCGCCGACTACGGTATATCCAACCACAGTATCCCATCGACTATGGTCCCTTTGACTTTCTTCACTCGTCGACTACGGCCCCTCCAACCACCGTAGCTCACCAACTATAGTCCATCTGACCACCATCATCTGCTAACTATAGTCCCTATGACTTCTGTCGCTCACCGACTGTGGTCCCTCTGACCTCCATCTTTTGTCGACTATGGTCCCTCTAATCTCTATCTCCCACATACTATTGTCCCTCCGATCTCAATCTCCCTCCGACCACAGTCCCTCCCACCGACCACGGTCTCTCTGACCAACATCATCTGCTGACTATGGACCCTCCGACCACAATCTATTGTCCCTATGATGATCCATCCACCTACGTTGCCTGCTGACTACGATCCCTCTGACCACCATCACCCTCCGACTTCCTTCGCTCGCTAAATATGATCCCTTTGACCTCCGTCGTCCGCCGACTACGGTCCCTCCGATCTCCGTCGCCCGTCGACTACTATCCCTCTGAACACTGTCGCTTGCCGACTACGGTCCCTCCGACCACTGTTGTCTGTCGACCCTCCGACAACCATCATTGGTTCATCCGACCAACGCCACTCGCCGACTACGGTCCCTCCGACCACCGTCGCTCGTAAACTACGGTCACTCCAACCAGTGTCGCACGTCGACTTAGGTCCCTCCAACTACCGTCTCTTGCCGACTACTATCCCTCCGACCTCCGATACCCGCCAACTATGGTCCCTCCGATCTCCGTCACCAGCCGACTATATACGGTCCCTCCGACCCCCATGGCTCGCTAACTATTGTCCCTCCAACCTCTGTCATCAGCCAGCTAAAACATTAAACTTTTTTATCTCTCTACCACCGTGTAGCAGTTCCTTAATTAAAAATAATATTTTCTATATTGATATCCGCCTCCAGCAAAAATGTTTTTAATTGATTTGAATTATAACATTTTTTCAAACATTAATGTTTAACTTGGGCTTGAACATTCTAGGGTAGTGGGCGCATGAAAGGAGAAGAAGAGTTTACAACGAGATCTCATTAGCCAGGCTTCAACGACATTAGCAGTGTGTGAGAAAGATGAGTCACAGGCGGAGCTCGCTTGGAAATGCATCACAAAACTAACCTTGTTCTAAGGAACTTGTCAAGAAAGGCCTCTAAGGATCGATGATGGAGTCTAAAGGAGAAAAGAAGATTGCAACAACAGCTTGTTCAATGTTATGGGTAGGCTTCGACAAAAAAAACATAACTAAACACTTTTGTTAAAATTTTATTGGACGAATAATGCAAGCAATTAAGTGGAGATTAAATAACTCAAACATTAATCACATACCAAGGATATATAGGACACATGAGCACTCTAGAAACTCTCCACTTGATAACGTATAACTAATAATTTAAAAATTATTAACAATAGGGATGAGTTTTCAGTAAACAAATGTAGTAGTTGATTTCCACCAAGTATAAAAGGTTAGATATAAGATATAAATAGGAGCAAAGAAATAGACAAGAATAAAAATGAATATTATACCAAACTAAATATTCATAGCGTGCAAGACAAGAATTTCAATTATAAAAATCATTTTATAAAAATTATTGTAGTTACATGCAAATTGTATTTATACATGTCAACTTTGTCATAAAGAAAATCATAAAAATCTAACGAGAGGGTGTGAGAAAAAAAAAATTAAAATTTATTTCAATAATTGAAAATTGGGGGATTTACATACATATCATTCTATAATATTCTATTTACATATTCAACATCTAAAACATTAATATTACAAGCATATCACTCATAGTTCACTTTCATGTTAAATTTGAGTGGTAGAAATGAAATATATAAGCGGTGGGAAGGAAATATGAGTGACATATTTGATAATAAAATAATATAGAGTGATATGTATGTAATATTAAAATTTTAAGTGTAGATATATAAATATGATGATATAAAGTGATATGTATGCAAATTCCTCTGAAAAATATATGATTACAAGGATCATTGTCCATCAATAAAATTATTGGCGCATCTAAACTAAATAACATCTACAAATTTATCCACCAATACATAAATAGAATTTAGTATTTAACTATACTAATAATCAATTAAAGAACTCAAATATCAGCTAATTTTCAAAACAACAACAACATCATCATCAAGCCTTTGTCACACTACTTGGGGTCGACTACATGAAACCTTTTTCGCCATTGTGTCCGGTTAAAAGTCAATGTCTCATTTAAATCTAATAAAGAAAAATCATTTCTAATATTTTCTAACAAAATTTTTTAGGACTACCACTATCTTTCTTAACATAAGTCAAATCTAATACCTCAACTTTCCTAACCGGGTAATCGAAAAACCTCTATTTAACATGACCAAACCATCTAAGGCGACTCTCTCTAATCTTATCTTCCAGTGGAGCTACTCCAACCTTTTCACGTATATGCTTATTTCGTATCCTATCTCTAAGGGTTAAGCCACTCATCCACCTAAGCATCCTCATCTCTGCAACACTTAACATAGTATTATGCTTCTCTTTTAATGGCCAACATTCGGCATCATAAACATTGCAGGTCTCACCACCATCTTATAGAATTTTCCCTTAAGTTTGAGGACTTTTCTATTGCACAATAAGTCTGATGCATTCCTCCACTTCAACCATCCAACTTGAATTGTGCTGATAATAACCCCATCAATTTCACCATCACTCTGAACAATAGAACCAAGATATCTAAAACGTTTACTCTTATTAATGACATGATCGCCCAAAGTCACAATCCGCTCAATAGGTCTATTGCTACTAAAGCTATACTCCATATATTCAATTTTAGATCAACTCAAGCGAAAACCTTTAGACTCTAAGGGGCTGTTTGGTAGAATCTATGATTTCATTTAAGTAGGATTTCATAAATCCTTCAAATCTGGATTTGCAAAATCCTGGAAGGGTTAAATCCTGAGGTTTGGTAACATTCATGATAAATCAAGTTAAATTCCGTGGGACTGTTTGGCTATGCAAGGCAGAATTTAAGGCAGTTGAAAGAAAAACAGCTGGAAACGTTCGGACTTCGTTCGGACTTCCTCCTCTAGCGCGAATGATAAGTTAAATCCGCCAAATCGATGGATTTGCGAAATCGGAGATTTACCCAAAAAAGTGGTATTTTTCCGTCAACCGCAGCTGTCATTTGCGGTGAGATTTGGATTTGCATTTTAGGCCGTTTGGCTGGATTTCGCCCAAATCCGGCCTAAATCCGCATACCAAACCGCCCCTAAAATTGACCTCCATAATTCAAGTTTATCTTCAACTCGCTCTCTTGTCTTATCAGATTTCCTTAATATTCTCTTAGTAATCAGCTACAACCTTCCGGATGGCTGCTGCCGATCAAAGGAAGGAACTGTGGAGGCTCCTCCTTAACCTCTCCGAAGAATGCCAATCCATGCTCCAGCTCAAGCGCATTCATGCCCGTCTCCTCCGCCACCACATCTCTGCCCCCCTCATCCTCTCCAAACTCCTCCTCTTCGCCGCCGTTTCTCCCCACGGCAACCTCCGCTACGCTACTCTCCTCTTCTCCCACCACCAACACCACCACCAAGACATCTCACTCTCCCGCTGCAGCAGCACAACGGCCTTCTTCTACAATACCCTCATGCGAGGCTACGCCAACACCACTTCCCCATCCCTTTCTCTCTCCCTCTTTATCTCCATGCGCCGTCACTCTGTTCCTCCTGACCACTTCACCTTCACCTTCCTCCTGAAAGCTCAGACCCGCGCCTCCTCCCTTTCTTCTAATGATGACGCTTCCATCCACGCGCAAGTCTTTAAGTTCGGCTGCTTGGGATCTCAGGGAACACATCTCCACGTCCACAACGCCCTTATCCACCTTTATGCGTCCCTGGCGCTCCCAGATGCCGCCCTCCAGATGCTTGCTGAAATGCCTGTTAGGCCGGATGCCGTCTCCTGGTCCGGTCTTCTCAATGCCCACCTACGCGCGGGTGATCCCGACGGCGCCAGAGCTGTTTTCGACGAAATTATCCCCGCGGAGCATCGGGACGTGGTGTCGTGGACTGCTATGATCTCAGGTTGGTGTATGCATGTAAATAAAAACAAAAAATCCGTCGAGTTAGCAACAGATTTTTTTCCCCTTAAATATTAAGTGAAAATTGTTAAGCATATAGTTTTAATTTATTTAAAAAAAAACGATCAATATACTATTAAAGATTCAAATTGTAACATTTAATTTGATAAAAAGTTCCGTCAAAAAAATTAACTATATATTAACAAAAATTAGGAGCTTATTTTGATTACAAAAGTTTCAAACTCAAATGAGTATGAATAAATATTTAAACAATAAGGATCATGACTGAGCATCACTGCCCAGTTATGTACCTTGCAGCAGGACAAAGAGCCAAGAATTCCACCAAGCCGGTAATCGCTTCTAGCTGTGCGCATCCCCCTAGGGAAATTGTCTCCAATTTTTTCTTCTCAATATCATCTCTTAGCTTAACAGCATATCAGAAGACTCCTTTGTAAACTCTGTTCCAACCATTACATTTATGATTTCTCCTCTTCAATCTTCAACTACATAAATTTCCGCACGAGGATGATCTCCAAGACCAACAACACTAAGAAAGATTAAATTTCTTTCAATTTCAGAGTAGTTGTTTGGATCAAGCTGCTTCCTATCAAGAGATGACCATCTATAAACTAATCTGATAACTCTCCCAGATCATCTTTGAATGCAAAACTCAAGCAGCGCAATCCATTCGAACTCATCCCTTGAACTCTAAAAACTATCAATTGCTTGCATTATTTGTCCAATGGAACTGACTCGCAGGGGCGGATCCAGCATCTTTTTTTAGGGTGGGCAAAAAAATTTTTTTTAGTAGGGGATGGCAACACTAAGAAAGATTAAATTTCTTTCAATTTCAGAGTAGTTGTTTGGATCAAGCTGCTTCCTATCAAGAGATGACCATCTATAAACTAATCTGATAACTCTCCCAGATCATCTTTGAATGCAAAACTCAAGCAGCGCAATCCATTCGAACTCATCCCTTGAACTCTAAAAACTATCAATTGCTTGCATTATTTGTCCAATGGAACTGAGTTATCTGAGAGCAATAGATGGGTTTTAAGCAGCTATTTATGCTATATATTAAATATACACCAAAGGCAAATAGATTAATCAATTCATTTTAGTAATCTTTTTGAAAAATATAAAATAAAATTTAAATATTATTAATACTATATAATTTAAATTTATAAAATTTAAATGATATTATATTAAATAAATGATAGTCTTTTCATACAATTAAAATCATTAATTAAATGTACTAACTCACTTGCTGATCATTCATTGAGATTGTAAGTTGGGTTTAATTAAATGATAATGATTAACGCCATCGACAACATTGAGCTTATGCCCCTAGTCGAACTTTTATTAGGTCCGGTGTAAGGACGTAGAGGAACGTCTGGTCGGAGGCAAAATCCCGCCAAAAACTTATTTGCTCGGTATTACTAAGTATTATTTGATAATAATGAGGAATACCACTCTGTGAAGATCAATATCGAGTTATACCGAGCTATACCGAGCAATACTGAGTTGTACCGAGTTTTTGCTAGGAAAAATTCGGTACAACTTTTGTATAACTCGGTATTACTCGGTATAGCTCG